TTTTTTTTTTTTTTTTTTTTATTGTTATTATTATTATCTACCAACATACCTAAATCTCTTGCATGATTTTTAAGATCATTTAGCATTTCAAGTCTTTGATTTTTCTTCGAGTCTTGAGAGTTCCCTACCATTAGTATTGCTCGTAGAAAGTTTAGTGTATTTGAACTATAACTATATACAAGTCAAAACTCATCGTTGTACATCAGATGCATCTTCTGTCAACCGTAAGAATTTTTACGAGACAATTTCGCCTTAAGAAAAGTGTGTTTTACGTGCCTCGATTTTAATTTGCTTCCATTCGTTTCCTTCTCATTTTTCAAGCCATTTTACAAAATTCACATAACATGTTAATAACTCAAGTTTTATTTGTGAAATCAAAGTTCGCAAATGACTAATGGCAACAATGATTGACTTGAACACAGGCAAAAATTTTATACTGTCAAAATAATGGGAAAATCATGAAATTCATCTCACTGTATGTATAACTTCTAGGGAACATTGACTAAAATTTAGCCTTCCCATACATAAAGTATATTCAAAATGATATCAATAACAAGTATAGTTTTACTATCAAAACCAAGATTCAGATAACCAGATATTAACGACCGAAAAGCCTCTCAAAAACCAGTATCTGGCCTCGGATTTCACTGTGTATCCGGTAGAGGTGAATAGCGTAAAAGCACACCATCAGATTGAAGCAAGTTAACATGATCAAGTATCGGACTCAATTTTGACCCAATAATCCTCACATTTGGATTCGAGTGTCCGTTCAGAGATACATTTGTAATCTGCAAAATAAATACAGATATTAAATGAAAGTGATGTAAAAGCAGATGTTACATGCGTTCGAATCTAACGATTTTATCGACTCAGCATCATATTTCGACCTGGCATAAAAAGCCTATAAAACCTAAATGCTTCCCTTATAAGGGAGGATCGTGATTGACCGTCTGCAGTTTATCTTTTTAAACTACAAATATGGGGTAATTTATTTATATAAAAAACAGAAAAATCAAGTGGAAAAAAATAAAAAATAAAAAATTCTTGACAAAACTCAAAATCCCATATTCTAAAAAAAAACATATTCTCATAAAACGTTTTTTAATACATTTTACAATGTAAAACATATTCTCATGATACGGGATTTTGATTTTTGTCCACATATTTTTTTTTTTTTTTCTATTTGAGGCATAAATGCGTGTTCGATTCTATGATTACTGGAAATAATAATATAATTTTCTCGAGATTATTCATACCTGCCTACAACCAAAGACCTTGAGCTGCTTCAAAGATGAACAACTATCTAAAATCAGTCCCAAAGCCTCATCGCTAATTCCTCGACAAAATGATATATCCAAACTCAACAACTTTCTTGAACGTTTGGAGAGGGAAAAGGCAGTGTTTGGTCCAACCTGATAAAATATAACCGATTAGTTTTTTTCACATGCATCGAATAATTATCACTAAACATAAAGTCACTTTCCCATGCACACGACCAAAAAAGAAAACCTAAAAAGGGAGAGGGAAAATAAACGCAACTAAAAGTTCGTAAACGTACGATGATTTATTGAAAACAGAAAAAAGATTGGTTAGTTCCAAAGAAAAGTACCTTTGAGATATTATTCAGTAAAAGTTCCTTCAGAGATTCCCCAGAGCTTTCTATGAAAGCGGCCATCACTTCATCACTAAGAAGAAGAAAAATTAGAAGAAAGCACATAAGATTACTTCATTGTAAAAGAATAAATGAAAAGAAGATCCATATACCTGAGAATTGATTAGAAAGCAAATAGCAGAAAAAGAAAAATGGAAGAACGGAAGAAAATGATGATCATAGAACAATTTGCTCAACTAAAATCAATAAAATCAAGTAAAAGCTAACTTCCTTTTCCTGGACTGATATGAATCGCATAATTTTATTAAAAGTGTAAACACTAAACAAATATGACTGAATCTAACCCCTGAAAGTTCCACATAATGCAGGATTTATTTTTATTTTTGTTTTTTCTAAGGAGAAAAAAGAAAAAGGAAACCTGAATTCATTGCGGCACATTTTCAGGATTTGGATGGATCTACAGCCGTTTGCCAGAGACTCCAATCCGATATCAGTCAAGTTTGGAAGGTTCGAAATATTCAATGAGCACAAACCTGCACAGCTGCTCCCAATGATTTTCAGACAGCAATCGCTCAATTTCCTGCAGACAAAACATGCAGCAGACAACACTAAGAACCTGAAAAACAAACTGTATAAGAAAACAAAAATAATCCAAAACCAACTTACGGGCAATCAGCCAAATCGAGCTCCTTAATACTTTTACTGCACACGGAAATCACTTTAGTGATAAATAAATCAGTTACGCCATGCAAACCCGCAACTGATAACACTTCCAAATACTCGAATTTTCTAAAAGCAGGAAAAATCATAGCTGGATTTATTTTCTGGCAATCATCTATGTACAACTCCCTCAAATTCGACCCCAAGGAATCAGCAATGAATTTGATGGCTTCAGAGGTCAATAAAGAACAGTGACCCAAATTAATGGACCGCAATAAAGGTGCTGATGTTACGAGAGTTTTAATTCCACTGTCTGATAGACGACAAGCACCTCTTAGGGACACGACAGCTAAACTGGAAAAACTATTCAAGGAATTAGACATTATATCCTCGAAAGCAAAATCGAGCATGCATTGCCCACAGAGGTCGAGTTGAAGAACCTGCATGTAGATTAAATCATTAATAATTTGCTTCACCAGAAAAGGCAAACAGAAGTCAGCAGCAAGAGACATAAGTCATTAGATGAATTAACTGATTCACAGAAGCCAGCAGGAGAAAGAAAATGAGAAACTATATATATATAACAAACGTAACCACAGTTTTTGCACTCAGCGGAAGATTAGGCTAATGCTTAAATGCACAATCTCAGTGAACTTCACTTCCATGTTATTAAAATCCACGAATGATAACAAATAGTCTATTTAAATCTAGTGCAGAGTAACTATGAATGCCTGATTTCATGCAATAAAGATAAAAAAGACAACAGCAGTCTATCATATTCCATCAATAAGTAATCATCTCATACTTCTGAATAAATAAGTAAAAAGAGAAAAATAATATGTTACCCTCAAATCTTGTGTCTGACAATTCTTAAATGCCTGGTGAAACTCTTTTTCCGTCAACCACGAAGAATTCTTCACGCGTATCTCAGTTGGACATCCTTCCAATAGAAGCTTCAAAAAGTCGATGCCCATTTTGCTTGTATCACACAACCTGTCAGTAAGTCTCTCACGAAGGTTATCCGGCACCATCTTCAGTGAAATCATACCCTCAGCATTTTCAGCAAGAGCTTTCAGAGATAAATCAAGCAATGAGGGTACAAACCGGACAATAGTGCTTTTGTCCTGATTTTCACTCGAGGGTTTCCACTCAATCAACTTCTTAGCCGACCTTTTTGATGTCCTTTCTCTCACCATTGTAAGAGAATCAGAAAAAGGGCCGGCCACATTTCCAAATTCTTTTACAGGAGTTGCAGAAGAGGGTAACTTTTGACTCTGACCTGCAAGGTTTACACGTGCAAACCGCCTAGCATTTTCCTGTCGGGTCTCACGGGCTAAATTCTCTAATCTCACTGCCAGTTCATTCTGACCATTCTGTTCTCTTTCGGCCATTTCAGGCCTCATGGCCAATTCTGCCAGTGGCAACATCTCAATTTCAGCATCTTCTTCACCAATCAACTCATCACTGTCTCTAAGCAAATGCAAGAGGGGTGGACTATTAGCCTTCAGTGACAACCATGTCTCAACAACATCAGCTTCACCATTTTCTTCCATTGTTAACTTCCTCAGACAACCCAAACTGCTACTTTCACCAAAGGAATTATTCAGCTTCTGTGTATCATCAGTAGGTGCCTCTACCTCAATTTCTTTACCCTTTGCATTATTGTAACCACGAGTATAACCTGTAACCTCAACCTCATTATCACTATCATCTGAAGCAATATCAATGACATCTACCGTCTTTTCATTAATCACAGGCCCACCATTCAGTGGTGTGGGAAGGTTAAGATCAAAAAGAAAACCCTCTTGCTCTTCCTCATTGCCCAAAATCAAACTAATGTTTAAATCGAAGTCCCATGGATTGGACTTGCTCATACCACCAACACTTGGACTTTCAAGATCACCAGAAACTAAATCTTCAAAAGGGCCTTCACTTTTCTCCACTTGCCCAGAATTCATCCCCCCATCATCGACACAAGTTCTTTGTTCCTCACCTCCATTAATAGCTAAATCTCCACAGTTCTCATCATTCCCATTAGAGAATCTAACTTTCTTTAACCTCGAGTTTTCACCCTCTTCACTAACAACAATCCCATTCACCCTCTTCATTTCAAAAAATTCCAAGATTGACTAGCCAAAAAGCAAGATTGGAATAAAACACAAAACCCCACAAAAAAAAATAAAATTAGGGGTTTTCAGAAGAGGAGAAAAAATGAGTTGGGATTATGGTAATTGACAAGAAAACGTGTCCCAAGAACAACTAACAAGAAGAGAATACAAATCAAAAATCAAGAAGTTCAAACATGGGTTCGCTCAAAAATCAACAAGAACCAACAAAATCCCCCGCTTAAATCACACGGGAGAGTAAAGCTTCGATTTTTCCCAAACAAACGCAAACAAATCAAGAACCCAAAGAACAAAAAAACAAAAAGCAACAGATGATTGTACAAATCAATAAACAATGAAACAGGAGATCGGGTATAAGAAGGATCACGAGAGAGAGTAATGGTGGTGACTTGGGCAAATCGAATTTGAATGGAATTAACGAAACTGTATCGCCATAATTTAAAAGGGGCTTGTGGGGGCAATTAGGTAATGTGATTGCCAAAATGGCTGTTCTGATGGGATATATGTGAGAATCTGAATTCATTGAGGACGACCTGTGTGCTAGAAAGGAAAATTAAAAACGAAAAAGAAAATGGAAAAAAGAGAGACACAGAGGAAAGTGAGATTACAGATTTGAGTAGAAAGAGAGAAGTTAGATTGTGGAGGTGCCCGTTAAGGGAAGGTGCCCCTGTTTTCTTTACCTTTCTGGGTGAGTCGGATTGCTTTGCACATATTAATGCACACAATATATATGCATGCAATTAGCGCTTTTTCATTTTTTCCTTTTAATATAAAATAAAAGAAAACAATAATTAAAAAAAGACTATTGATGTTGATAATCACATTTTCAACTTTACAAAGCTATGAACAAAATGTACTAAATGTTTTTTTTTAAATAAAAATATAATGTTACTAGCTATAATAAAAAATTGTGAAATTTAAAATATAACTATAATAAATTTTATGTCTTGAAAATAACAAATGAAAATGAGTGAGAAAATATTTTCTTTCTTAAAAACTAAAAATAAACATTATAACTCTAAACTTTTTCTCTACTTAATTATATATCTTAAATTCATTGGGGTGTATAATATTCAATTAAAATTTAGGGGGTGTATTCAATTAAGATTTCTAAGGACTTTTTAAGACTTTAGAAATTTTGGTGTATTCAATTTAGATTTGTTAAGCTTTTAAAAATCTTGGGGTATTCAATTGGAATTTTAAGAAGTCTTACAAAATCTTGAGTTATTTAATTTATTTGACACTAGGATTTATGAAGACTATTTAAGATTTATTGGGATTTCTAAACAAAAAATTTTATACGAAATCCTACTTCAAAACTCACCTCCAGACTTAAGATTTCACGGAATTTATCCAAAATCTAGATATTGTTAAGATTTGTTAAGATTTCCAGATTTGTTAAATATATCCGAAAAGCTAATGGACTGATAAGTTAATTTATAATTCACAAATCAATTTAGAACTTATCATTGATAGCTTATGATTATTGAAAAACTAGCTAATGTATAACTTGTTTGGATGTTATCGAATTAAATCTCACATGTTTGAACTGTCAAATCCGCTAACTAGCTTATTTATTTACCATTTGTGCAGGAAAGAAGGCAACTAAAAAAAAGACAATACATGGGTGCTTTGGGAAAAGACAATTTGTAAAATCATATCAACATGAAATTTTATAAATGCACTATGTACAAATTGGGATTTTTCAAACATCTATTCACAAAATGCTATTACAATCCACTAATTAAATCAACTAATAGTCATAAAAGATTATAATAAAAATATTTGGTAAAATTAGTTGATAAGTCAATTAAAATAAAACAATCAACATGTATTTTTATGTAAGCTATAAGCTAAGTTTGAGCTTTTAAAAAGCTTACCCTACCAAACAACGATTGGCTTTATGTTAGATCGACCTAACTATAAGGCCGGCATGCTATTCTTTTAAATGTGCATACTTTCATTAAAAAATGTCATACTTTTAAAAATAATATAAATAAAAATTTTGATAGTATAAATACGAAATTTTGTTCAAATTATATGACAGATCGACTTGCTTAACGGTTAGACCGACCCACACTAGAATTTGTGATCAAACAAATATGTAATTATACAAAAAGTTTATAAACTAGGGAAATAATTGATAACTTATAAGGTAATTTATGATGTTTACCACCATACCCTATATTTTGTCACACGTTTGTTATTGTTGTTGGTACTATCATACAAATCTACCAACATATCCCTTTGGGACTATTTACAATTCTTATTTATTTATTTATTTTTATTTTTTCTCTCCGATCCAATTTTGTTATTTAGAAAATGAAATAAATAATTTTCACAAAATTTATTTAATTCCTTTCACTGCTATGTCTAACATAATTTAGAAAATAATGGGTGTTATATATGTAAGAAATTATATACCAATACATTATAGATTTTAAACTATCTACTAATTAATTTTTTTATACTCTTATCACATAATTTTACCTCATTTCTTTTCAATATCAAGACATTTTTCTAATACATTTTATATACCATCACATTTAGTCAATTATTTTCAGTTACATCTCACATTTTTTTTAATACATCTTATATCCAATCACATTTAGTCAATTATTTTCAGTTACAGAAATTATGTAAGTCATCCTCGCTTTTTTGTTTTTTATTTTTAAAATACATCTTATATCTAATCACATTTTTTTAATACATCTTATATCCAATCACATTTAGTCAATTGTTTTCAGTTACAGAATTATGTAAATCATCCTCGCTNTTTTTTTTTTTTTATTCTTTTTTAAATACAATCACATTTATCCAAATATTTTCGGTTACAAAAATTATGTAAATCATCCCCGGATGAAAAAAAGTAAAGGCAGATTGCTAAGATTGACATATTTTTTTATTTTTTTATTTTTCAATAAAGTTTTTCAACATTTCAATATGATAACGTAATGTACTTTTTCCATCTATAATATTTTTTTATTAAAGTTCTAACTGAATTTCTGCAAAGATAACAACGTGTGTATATAGATATATAAATAAAAAACAACATAAAATTACCTAATTTTTGAAACATGTTGTACTCAAATTATCTAATTGTCGTATCATCTCAATATTATTTTAGCGTGAGATGATATTTTTATGTAGAATATAATATTTTGATAAAATTTATGTACTCAAATTATTCTTATACGGTGAAAAGTGGCTACCATTTTTTGAAATCCCTCCCAGATGATTCCCGAGAAACTTGTTCGAGTAGCAATACGAGGTGGTGGAAAACTTTGTGGAAAATAAATGTTGTTCTGAAAGTTAAACATTTTATATGGAAACTGAGCAATCAGGCTTTTCCTTCTTCCGAGAATTTGGCTCTGCGGCACATAAATGTGGAAGTTAAATGCCACAGATGCGGAGGTTGGGAATCGAATGCCCATATCTTCTTTGATTGCAAATGGGTCAAACGTCTTTGGAAACTGACTGGCTGGTGGAACATTCTAGTGGGCCGACGTGACAGAGACTTTATTTCGATATTCACTGACATTCTTGATGGACCTAGGAGAGATGAGTTCAATATGTTTTCCACTTTTTTATGGCTTATTTGGCAAGAGAGAAATCGTCTACGACATGGTCGGGCAGGGAGAAGTGTTGAACAAGTCTTGGCATCTAGACGAGGGTGGCTTGAGAAGGTGAGTCGTGTAAATTCATGCGCTGCCCTTTCAAATCGACCACTGACCCTGGGGACGGCTGATTCTTGGCTTGGGCCTGGCACTTGCAAAAATGGATTCACCCTTTTTGTGATGCTGCTATACGTGAGGAGTCAATTGGCTTAGGAGGATGGATCGCTGACTCAGAGGGAGTGTGTTGGGCCGCTTTTGCATATCGACAACCCAGATCCTTTTCCCCGGCAGCTGCTGAAGCTATAGCTTTAAGGTTCAGACTCCGTTGTACTATGGAATCTGGGTTAATGATCTAAACTGCGGCGGCTAATGCTCTTTCAGTAATCTGTGGTATTAGTATTACTGACCGCCTTCCAAATGACACGTTGCAACATGTTTTCGAAGATAATCTCAACCTTTTGTCATACTTGAACTGTGGTGTTTGTTGTCATGTTGCTAGATCAAATAATGTAATTGCTCATGAGCTAGCCAAATGGGCTGTAGGGCCATCTGGCTTGTTTCTTTGGACGGAATCTTATGCCATCTTTTTTCTCTTCCTTTTTTCGAGATCTGTCGATTCCTTGACATTGGTTGAATTAATCTAGTTATTTTACTTGCAAAATAAAAAAGAATAAAATTGAGTTAAAAAATAACATTCATTAGATATATTGTTTAGCAAAATGTTACATTTTCAGCACAATAATTTGTGGCTACGGGGCACCGTCTTTTCAATTTGGCAAAAGAAGACACGAATTGAAAAACAAAATACATAATTATTTATCCCAAATGACTAAGAGTTGATCATAATGCACTATATTTTTGTTATGAATTATGGCCTCGCTTATGTGGATGGATGACGTGCCTTTTTAATATATATAAATACTAAAGTGCCATGATTTATTTGTACCAAAAAAAGTGACATTATTTATTTCTTTATTTTTTTCTTTCAGTTACTGCAGTTAACCTTGCATCCAAAGCTGTATCAATTTTATTAAACTGTGAGGCTCAGTTTGATTTTGTTATAGCAAATATGAACTCACCTGACTCTTGCACGGTCCAACTAACTGAAGTTGCTATTAAAAAAAATTTACCTGTAATTTGTAAGTATCTCTTACCATTTACTTTTTAAATTAATTATTTTATATAGTGTGTCACGTATTTTTCTGAATATGATCATTTACATTAATTTCCATAATGTAATATTTTATTTTTTATTTCCATCAAAGTGGTGTCGGATAGGTGTGAGATTGGGACAACGATTCGAAGTTTAGTACAAGGAGCCTTTTTTTATATCAACAAGCCAATAACAATGCATGTGATGAACAAGCTATTGAGGCAAATAGTGATTCAAAAGGGTGGTGGAGTTGAAGAAAATAAACAATATGGAGAAGTGATGGAGAATACTAGTTTACTATCCAATCAATTTGGGGAAGAATTGATGGAAGGAAAACAAAGCGATAATGTTGAAGAAAAGGAATTAGTGAAAATGGTTAACTCTGGAACGTTTGACAATGATAATAGCATGTTCAGAAAGAAGATTTGGGTAGAATGGGATGACGAACTTCACGAAAAGTTTATAAATGCCGTCACAAAACTTGGAGAAGGAAGTATGGTGTTCATGTACTCTTTAGCAAAGCTTTACAACTTATTACATTTTGTTGATAGTGTTTGTTTTATATATTAGTAATCAAGTTTTTTGTCTCGTGAATAGGATGCTATCCAAGAGCGATCCTCAATTTGATGAATGTACCAGGCCTTACTAGAATGCAAGTTGCAAGTCATCTTCAGGTGTGCTATAAAATCTATCAATAAAATCAATTGCTTCAAATTATATTGTTGTTTGGCACAAGAATGCACTCAAATCATTAAAATCTTAGCTAATGTTGATTATGTACTTCTTATTTTTTAAACTATAACCTTGATTTATTTTAATTTGGTAAAATACGTCGTTGAACTTATATCGCACATTGAACTGTATGAGATAATTTGAATATATGGTCTATTACGTATAATTAGTTAATAAATATTGCT